TATATATAATTGTATCTTTAAATTTATTTATTTTTTAATATTATATTAAAAAAATAATTTTTTAATAAATGTGTTGTGTTCTTGGAGAGGCTCATGTGAGGATGAAGGTTGGGGATGGGAGATAGATTTTTTTTATTTTAAGATGGCTGGTAAAGTGGAACAAAACTTGCAAAAACGATTGATATGGAGGGAAGCCAATGGGGACAATTTGCATTCCCATTTGGTTGTTTTGACACAAAATCTCATTGTAAAAAATGTATTGATCTTTTGGATTAAAAAAGTTTTTAATAGTTTAATCAGCATTAAATTATAAAATATTAATTATTAAATTACAAAGAGATCTCTAATAATGGAAAAAGGCACCTCATTCAATGATTGATATTTTATAGTCTAATAAAATATGAATTGCAAAACGATCGCCTTTTGGATAATTGTTGCTTAACCAAACTATTAATGGATAAAGACAACTTTATAAACTCCAGAGAATGAGAACAATCCTCAATCTTATTAATTAGGAACTTATTACAATAAAAGGCATGCTCGATCTTCAACCATATTGATTAGGGACTTATTACAATAAAAGGCATGCACAACTTGAGAATGTTAATATATAATATAAACGAAGAGAATAAATTGCGAGAAGGGAGGTAAAATGATCAACGTTGTAAGTGAATCCAAATAGCCTGACTTGGAATTCCTTGATGAATCACATATAGGAGGTAAAATCCGGATGGTGCCAGGACAGGCGACGGTGGCATAGTCGCCTCCACATCGTAAAAGCCATTCCCAATAACAACCATTCTATTGTTTCCGAGCACGAGCAGTCTTTGGTTTTGGGAGAATGAATGTGTTGTGAATGACGGTGCCACCAGCATTACCACCACCTCGCTTTGAATCACCGGCCCTGTACAGCTGAAGCGAAACTTTTGCTTTTGGCCATAAAATAGAGTTCTTTGATTTACAGGCGCAACTATTGTCGGACGAATATTGTCAAATTGTGTGTTGAGGTAGTCCGGGGAAAATGCCTCTAAGCTCAATTCGGTCGGGAAAAGTACTCCGGTGAAGGTGTCATAAGCATGAGGGTTGCTTCCTCCAACCAACACCCTCCCGTCACGGAGGAGCACTGCAGTGGAGTGGTACATCCGTGGGATGGTAGTAGGGTTTTGTATCTCAAACCGTGACCCCATTAGGTTATCAGGTCGGTAGATAACCGGGCTCAATACTGGCTCCCGACCTTGTTCCCAGCCGGCCGAACCCGCCCCAGCACCATTGATGATCAAAACGTTGCCATCAGGCAGCAATATCATGTCACCCATGACTCTACCTTGTGGCATTGTCTCCATGACCCATTGCGGGTCCGAATCAGTTATCTTGATCCGGCCACATGTATCCAAAGCTGGCAAGAAAATATTCTTCAATGACTGAGTATAAGATCCGTTGGACCCTCCACCACATATCAATACTTCGGCTTCCACATCACCGGCTTGTATGTTCTTCAACGGCAGTAACACCGCTGATCCAGAGCTGGGATAGTTCCGAGCTTCGGCTCCCGGAATTACAGGATAAGTCTTCACGACTATGTTGTTCACATAATCAAGCAGAATTGCTCGATTATTTGCAAAAATGAACAAGTTTCCATCAACGTTGAGATGAACAAAAGGGTATAGATTGTTCTCTACCCCAGGGTCGTTCGTGTCTGACAAGAACGGTAAGTTGAATAGCTTCTGAGCAGTGGTCTTAGGATAAAACTCGTAACTAAATTGTTTCCGACCGCCGATGATAATTTGTCTACCATCTGGCAAAATGTGATCACAGGCATACCATCTTGGCACCGCCAATCCATTTGGCACTTCCACCCAGTCACAGGTTCCATCGTTGCAAGGGGTGAAAATCCTTATTCTCTTTTCACCGTCATTGAATCCTCCTGTTTGAATGAGACGGCCATCGGCCGTCACAGCACCAGAAGAACACCAAGTGTTGGTTTGCACCATGAGTGCTCGAAATGTGTTGGACTGAACATCGTACTCGACTGAATGAGCAGTACAGTCCACTTTTAAAGTCTTGTCATTGGGGTCATTCCGACATTCTCCGTTCGGCAGAGATAGATTGGACGGTCCATAATCAGTTCTATCCAAGATTATAACACGGTCATTGTTAAGCAGCTGCATGTGCATTGCGGACACACCAACACTTTTTTGCAATAGTTCCCAGCTGCCACCGGTAGCGGAGATGAAGAAACATGGCTGCAAAGTGAAGCAGAGGAGAAGCGAAAGGAGGAAAGACAGAGCAAATGTTGAAGACATGATTCAAAATGTTGTTCTTTTTTTAAGGGGAAATAATTGGGATATTGAGACTGTGGATGCTGTTCTCAATGAAATACAACGTGTTTTATAGGCCTTGTGAGGGCGGAAGAGGAGAGAGAGGAATTAAGAGAAATAATATTTTAATTCAGTTCAAATCTTGCAGATAAGATTCTGCCCGGTGAAATGGAACTATTAGGAGGAGTTGGTGGATATTAGCAGCAAGATAAGGTCAATTTGAATAATGATAATTAGACCAAAATTTAGAATCAATATTTAAGATTAGTGACATAATATAAGTTATATTAGTTAAAATATTAAAAGATAAATTTAATATTATTTAATAATTATTATTTTTTTATTTTTTTAAAACTTATAATATCATATGTATCAATTAATTTAATAACATAAATTATATCACATTATTATTTTTAAATTTTTGTCCATTTTATAATTTGTATTGGCCCTTGTTAATTATTTTAATGTTCCTTGGAATTGTTCCTGTTGGGACGGGGGGTATGGGGTGAAGTTTTAAATTTATAAAATAAATTATTACATTTTATAAATATTTTTTTACATCATAAACTAAAATAATACATAAATATCTTAAATATAGAAAATTACACTATAAATGATGGAATTATTTATTTATAAGTTTTTCAATGAATTACTATTTAGTACAATAATGATCATTCTCATATTCAGTGACAAATTATATTTTTAACTATATGAATTTTGGCAGCATAAAAATTATGAATGTTGGTGAGTTTTTTAATTTTCCATAAGTATATATATATTACTTTTTATATGTTGCAGGTTTATATAAATACAATGTATTTCTATGAGTCTAATGATTAACAAAATATAAAAAAATTTCAAACTACTAAAAATATAATTAAATAACTAAAAATAATTACACTAAAATCCATATAAGGCTTGAACTTAGAATTTCTAAGTTACGAGGCCACAATCTTTTACTATTAAACCAATAAACATGTTTTTAATAATCAATCATAATTCCATTTAGCTTCTAATTAGTTTCTTTTTGTAATTAAATCTAAACATGTTTGTGCTTCAAAAAAATATTAAAAGAAGATGAATTAAGAATATATTTTTATCAATTAGTCAAAATAAGAATTATTAATTAGTACCATGTTCAAAAAAGAATTATTAATTAGTACATAATTTCAAATAACAAAAAACAAGAGTACCATAGTGAACACTTTTTCAAAGTTAGGGGGGCGGCTGCCCCTATCTAATGGTAGCCCCGTCCCTGGATCCTGCATGGGAGATTTTAAGTTCTGATTTTCAAGATGGATGTGTTCATTCTCACAAGAGCCATTTGTTATGGTTATATCATTTATTTATTTTTTATTTGTTTATAATTTTGTTGTTAAATAGTTAATTATATTATATTTAAAAATATTTGTATATAAATAAATTTTAATTTATTAAATAATAAAATTTAATTATTTTATTAATTATCAATTGTTCTTAATAATTAAATTAAAATAAAAATTTAACTATTTATGTAAACTTAATAAATAATCATGCCATAACCACTCCTGGCTTATGGGTGAAAGGACCTTCATTAATAGATTTAATTAAATAAGTATTTTAATAACCACCTTATCATTGGCTCTCCATTCTGGTCTTGTTTCTTCTCCTACTCCTAGCTAGTACAAAAAACGTTCAAACTATAAAATTTTGATAATATTTAAGAAGAAAAAAAAAACACAACTTAATTAACAGGTTAATTAATTCAAATACAAACACATGCACCTTTATTTCTCTTGAATAATTTTATTTTCTACCATTGATGTTGCTATAACAAATTTTGCAGGAGAGTTACCTATAGTCGTCATAAAATTTTGTAGGAGGGTTCCCCAAATCCATGTTCCAATTTAGATCAACATTTTTTCATCTCCTTTCATATAGCTTAAAATTGCATGATATCAAACTCGAGCACGCGTGCGATTATAACAACAATAATTTTCTTATGTGTCAACTAAGGGAGAAAGTAAGTTTAGTCTAACTACGAATGCAGTTTTAGTTAGTACCCTTTTTGGTAATATATAATTTATGTGGACGAATATTGCAGTGGGAACAGAACTTTGGTCTTAAATCAATATTAGTCAGCCCAGTTCATGAGCTGTGAGAATATATTTGATCGTATATTTTACTTAATTTAAAGTTTATATCTGATAATATACAATATACAATTTTGGGAACATTCCTTGCATTGAATGTATTTTAGTTTGACTTTGTTTATACAGAAATTAATTATAAATTCCATATTGCTATCTCCGGTTGATCCTTCCTGTCCACCAGGCGACAGTTAAAATGCTTGTCAACATAATTATTCGCCCAACCAAAAGCTTTTCCATTGGGTTTTAACTAATAATACATTATTCAATATGATTAAAATGACTTAAGGCGAAGTTTTTATTATCCTAATAATTAAATTTATAGATTAAATTGTTAGTGGTAATTGGTTTAACAATTACACTATTCCTAAAATGCTTATTCAACTTAATTATTCAATTAAGCAAAAGCTTTCCCATTGCATTTTAACTAATAATACATTTTTGGAGACAACTAAAATGACTTAAACTAAAGTTTTTATTTGTAGTCCTAATAAATCTTTAGATCAAATTGTTAATGGTAGTTGGTGAGTCACTGTTTTTAAAATGTGGTATTCAACGCAACAAATGTTGCTATACATGGGAAGTTGGGAACCCAATAATTCCTGAATGTTTTAGTTTTCGTCTTGGACTCTTGGTATTGGTTTGGTACGTTCAACATATAGAGCTAACAACTGATCCCAATCTGAAAAAATGACCTGCTTTCTTAATTCATGAGTCAGCTCCGATTGGGTTGAAGAAGGCAAACAGATAACTAAAATGTGTAGGTTTAATTTCATAATAAGAATATTTCTAAAATCTACCTGACATCCGAATCCAAAATATCATACTAATAATTTTGGTGCTGATCCAAAAAAAAAAAAAAAAGTTTATTTTTCGTACTTTAGATATATGAGCTTTATAAAAAGGGAAAAGTTCTTTCATTCTTATAATTTTTCTTTATTTATTTTAAAATTTTAAATTTAAAATTTCAAATTTTAAATTTAATATTTTTAATCATTTAAAATATAGGAAAAATTTCATACTAATAATTAATGTACTATATACACGTATGGAATGTCAACCTTTAGACTGTTTTTAAATTGTTTGTTTAAAAGACACTTGAATGTCAACCTGCATTATACTTTTTTTTTAATAGTTTGTGCAGATAAGATCAACAAGTGGATAAGAGACCGCGATGCTATTCGTCCTTATGAATTACATGGCGGTTGCCATCGTGCTAGGATCCGAAGAAATGTTAAAAGTCTATAGCAAGTTTTTTATTTTGTGTGGTTATGGTTATACATTAATTTATTAAAGTTATATAATATTTTTTAAAAAATATTAATTTTATTTGATTAATTGTTAAAATAATTAATAAAACAATTAATATTTATTATTTTATAAATTAAAATTAATTTGTAAATTGATATTTATAGATAAGTTATTGATTAGTACATATTTTTTATTTAATATATTTCATAATATATTTATTAAAAATTATTATTTTTAAATTTAAAATTAAAAAATTTCAACTATAAAATTTAATGGTTGAGTGGTAAGTATTAGTAAATGTGTTAAACTAAAAATTATATCAATAATTTTCTTTTTAGACAAATATTATAATCAACTATTTAAAAAAACTATAAATGTCAGTCAAATTGAGCAAAGTTTGCGTGGCTTTAATAAAGTTTTGTGTGACCAATATATAACCCTCCCTGCTTTCTATCGTTGTGGTGGGGTAAGGAAACATGCCATATAGAATAAATATATACAATTGTTTTTTTTTTTTTATTAAAAAAAAACTTTATTTATAGAGAGTATAAGAGGTACTCTTATTTATTAAAAAAAAAAAATGTCAAAACATATTAAAATTCCTACTACAAATCAAGGCAAGATGCTTAGTCTGCAATTCTAGAATCAAGCCAAAAGCCACGCAACTGTTCAGCAGTAGTTTGATACAATCCAGCAAAATAACACAACAAAGATCAATAGCCATTTTCATACCAGAGTTCAGGTAAAATACAATTGTTTCTTCTCCTACTTCTAGCTAGTAAAAACGTACAAACCATAAAGTTTAAATTTAACATGTTAAATTTAATTCAAATGCAAACACATGCGCCTTTAATTCTTGAATAATTATACTTTCTATCCTATATATTGAAGTTACCGTAACAAAATTTGCCGGAGAGTTCCCAACATTGCAGTTTCAAAAATTTTTCCAAGGCTCATTTCTAGTTTCTACTCCACCAATGTTCCAATTTAGATAGAGAGTCTTTCATCCCCGTTTTTAAAGCTTAAAGTTGCATGATACCAAACTCAACCAATTTAAATCTTAAATGAATACTTAAGTGATTAGTGATGGTTTGACTTACAGTCCTATTTTTTTATTTAAAATATGAGATTCAAGACATCACAATCACTTTCAGTCTTGTTAATTGTTGTAATTTTTTATTGAAAGATTTCGTTTGTAACATATCTACTAAGATTATGAATAAAGTATCTCTTATATTTTAAATAATAAAATTTTTTTGATTCATCTAAAAGAATTACCAATGTTCTAGTTTTCATCTAGATAATTTGTCTTGGCATCAGGTTGGTACGTCCAAACATATCAACTAATCGATGCAGCAGAAAATGAATAAAGTACCAAATGTTACCAAAAAAATTCTCTCATAAATTAAATTATGAGTTTGAGATCAACTAATTAAATTCTCTCATTTTGATCCCGATTTGCATTCTTAATTAATGAGTAAGCTTCGACAGGTTGAAGAAGTGGAAGAACTAACTAAAATGTAGGTTCATCTCAAGAATAAATATTTGTAAAATCTAACTGATATATCTTGTATCTGGAAATTCGATCAGGTCAATATAATATGCTTATAAATAAATATCTGGAATGTCAACTTTCGTTTATTTTAAAAATAATGACAAATAGAACAAAATTTTCAAATCAAAATTTGAGACCAATGACGTAACTTATGTCTTTTTATTAAAAATATTAAAAGATGAATGATATATTATTTAATGATTACTTTTTTTTTGTTTTTTTTAAACTCATGATATTATATGTATTAATTAATTTAATAATATAGCATATGTCAAATCATTAATCATAAATTTTCATCTCAAATTTTCATCCTCCCTATAATTACTTATTTTTTAATGGTTTGTTTAGTAGACTCTTGATTAAGGACAAATGGATAATTAATCATTTTTGTTTGGTTATAGACTTTTTTAAAAAATTATGTTTAACCCAATTTTAGCTTTTGTTAAGATAAATCTTCTTAAAAGCTACCATAAACACACACTAATTCCTTAAATTATACAACAAGATAATCCTACTCACATTTAAAGGTTCAAACAGTTCAAACTCAAGACTTCAAATCATGAGAGGTTTCTTAAGGAACACATCTCTTAGATTTTTCGCATTAAAAAAGGAAAACAATTTCTTGACAATTTTTCTTTTTAGATAATAAAATCTTAAAGCGCTAATTTTTTTTATTTCTTTTAATTCGAGTGAAATATGTGATATTATATATATATTTATTTGATATTATGTAGATATTATAAACTTCATTGTAAATTTTTGTCATAAAAAAATCAAAACCGACCAAAGAATTCTGATCAAATTTCTCATTAATACAGACAAAAATATTGGTGATAAAGTCCAGCCCATTTTTTGTAAGGCCAGCCCAGTGTCTATTTGAAATAAACAGAAACGAACCGAGCCCACCCTGCCTAAAACCTAAACCCCGAGTCCGTTTTCTCTATTCCGGCAACGGCTAGCGTTCATCAAGGGTCCGCAGCAATGGAGGCGACGACTATCCCTAGCGAAACCTTCAAGCTAGGCTTCGTCGGAGCAGGGAAACTGGCGGAGAGTATCGCCAGAGGAGTCGTGCGGTCTGGTTTGCTGCCACCCAACCGGATCTCCACCGCCATCCATTCGAATCCCAATCGCCGCATTGCCTTTGAGTCCTTCGGCGTTAGTATTCTCCCTCACAACAGCGCTGTAATGTTCTCTCGCCATCTCCCTTACTTTTTTTTTTCCTGACGAATCTTCATTTTTAGTTTTATTCGTTTTTCAATTTTTTTTGGTTGCTCGGAAACCGTGGGAAAGCAACGAAGTGGAAGTGGAAATGGAAAAAATCTAATTTTGTGATCTTAGATTTACATTCTTTTCCTGATGAATCTTCATTCGTAGTCTTATTCGTTTCTCATTTTTGTTTGGTTGCTCGGAAACCATGGGAAAGCAATGAAGTGGAAGTGGAAAATTTCTAATTTTGTGATCTTAGACTACATTGTGTTTAATTTCATGGCTTTTTCTTTGTTTTATTCCTTTTTCTTTTCAATTAGCCAACATTTATTTTATTGGAACAGGTTGTTGAAGACAGCGATGTGGTTGTTTTCTCTGTGAAACCCCATGTTGGTAGTACTTTTGCCTTTCATGCTTCCCCTGATATTGTTGTCTTGTGAATGTTACTGTTTGACCTTAACGCTGCCTGCTTCCGACTAGTTCATATTGTATGTTCTAGAAAATTTGGGGGACATGTGGTTCAGTAAGGTTTAGGAGATATGATGTTTAAAAAAAATGGATTCTTGAATAGAAAATTAATGCGATGGTTTAATACAACTATTCAAGGCTAAAAATCATTCTCCTATTTATAAAGATTCTAGATGTCTCCATTTATGAATCTTGTCATCAAAATTAGAATTAGAGAATCTTAGATGGAGAATTGAGAAGAGATTGAAATGAGGGTTGTAGAATATCTTTTAGTAGATTTTTGAAAATTTTGCCTTTTGTCTTTACCTCTTTCTTGGATGTCTGCAGTTAAAGATGTGGTCTTGCAACTGAAGCCAGTACTTTCAAAGAAGAAACTTTTAGTGTCAGTTGCTGCTGGAGTAAAATTAAAAGATCTGCAGGTATGTGGTTTTCAGCTCTTTGCCTCATATAAAAGCCTAAGAATTTTGGGGATAGAATATGTTATGCGCTAGTAAAAATAACTGTAACATCAAATAATCTGGATCACATTTTGAGAATTGGACTTACTCCTCCACAATGAGGTGTCAAAGAAGCTCCTCTTTTTTTTTTTTTTTTTCAGTTTCTGTTCAAAAAATGAATAAATTCACAATGAAACGAATTGTTGCCCTTATTTTTTTCTACTGATCGTAAGGTTCATGAACATCTGCATTTACATTTTCATAAACTTCAAGTATGCAATTGTAATTCTGGTTATCATTTCTTGTTTCACTAAGGTAATAGTTTTCTTTCATAAGGAATGGGCAGGTCATAGCCGATTTATCCGGGTTATGCCGAATACACCATCTGCTGTGGGAGAGGCGGCAACAGGTATCATTTTCCTTTTTTAAGGAATAGGCAAGATTCATTCCTTCAAAATCCCGCAACAGGAGTATATACAACTTTGTTTCTGAGCATACCCATGGATTACATATTTATAAAAGCTGTTTCATCCTAACTGCCGAACTATACAATTAACCAAACCAACAATACTGTTTCTCTCATTTCTAAACAGGTATCATTTTTTGTTTGTCCTTTAAATGTAAATAATCTCTGATTTGCAATAGTTAATAAGTCTCACAATAGGATGCTATCTTCAATGTGTATTGTGGAAATGAAATCGTTGAAGACTTTTGAAAGAAACTACAAGTAAGATCCAAAGTTGTTATCAAAGGAGAATTTGTAGATGTGAGAAAGTCTAGAAGATTAACTAAAGCTTTCAAGTTGTTGAGAAATTAGGGACAACCTTACGGCTCTTCTGTGGAGCAAAAAGAAATGAAAGCCTTTCACCAAAAGAATTAACCTCAAATATCAAATCAAACCATGTGTTATAAAAGGGAGAAAGGTTGAAGGGTTTGGGTAGCAGCAGGTTAAGAGATCAATGAATTCTTGGTTTTTGATTTCAGGAAAAATGTGATTTGACTAATATTCTGGTTTTTTTCTTTCTGTATCATGTGGATTATGAATCATGTTGGGCTGATAAGTGGCATCAATGATAGGGTGATTCTCTCAGATAGTGCAAAATGTTAATCAGATTTCAGATTTATCTTCACAGAAAGTCTAATTATAAAAGACAGAATCTGCTGAAAGAGATTAGGAAGGTTGCGGTTGAGGAACCTTTATTTTTATTTCATTTACATATATTTTAAACTCTTGAATTCCCTCAAAGAGTGTGTTCTTTTTGTTTGAATTTAGTTTTTTGAATGTTGTATATGTCAGTACATCTTTCTAATCTAGTATTAAAATAGTCATGAGCTTAGGAGGAGATGCAACAGAAGCGGATAGGGGACTAGTTGGTAAATTATTTGGCTCGGTTGGTAAAATTTGGAGAGCTGATGAGAAATTGTTTGATGCAATAACTGGCCTCAGGTACCATGCTTTTAATGTCAAGTCTCTTTCTATCTCTAAATGTCCTCCTTTTCTTATTTTGTTATTTGAAGATAAGTATTTGTTCCGAAAGGTTGAATAATATATGCTTTTGGCCTTGATAATACATTTAAGAAGAAATTGTGGTTGGGCAATCTCTTGATTTTAGGCTAAAAGTGCTAATTACCTACATATATAGAAAATCATGATGAGCAGTGCCATCCCTCAAAAATCTTTGCACGTCTCTTTTTCATTAGTATGCTATCTTTCATCACCCTTTCCCTTGTCTCCTTTAAGGAAAAAGAGGGGGTTGGGGGGGAGGTTAGGGGGAGGGGGGGAATTGAACTGGTTGAAATCCACACCTTTAAAGATTCATTGGCCATCAAGCAGTGATTAATATATTTCTTCAAATGGTTTTGTATTGTTTGTTGACATACTTGTTTATAAAATTGCTTAGTGGAAGTGGCCCAGCATATGTGTATCTGGCAATTGAAGCTTTAGCTGATGGGGGAGTGGCTGCAGGTCTTCCGCGAGAACTTGCCTTGGGTCTAGCTACTCAGACAGTAAGTCAACTATTGCAAATTCTATATATATTATACAGATTAATTATGTTCCTATGTTTCATTTAACTGAAATTCTCTGAGGATAATCATTTTCTCTTCTGTAGAACACCTGATCAATGTTTGAATTGAACTCTATAGCGTGGTTACACTTTGTAGCTCATTAAATTCTAATACAATTTATAACGTACAAGTGAGCTTAGAGGTGGGGTGGGGGTTGGGGCTTCAAGTTGGATAAGATCTTTTCTATATTCCTTATTCTCCTTTTTCTCATATGGTGTAGGGATTGGTTTAAGTTGATAATGTTATGGTTTTGCTATGGAAATTATAGGATTTTCATGATAATGTTGCTGGAGAATATAGCTGGATATAAGCTAGACCATGACTATATTGATGACTGTTGTTTCTATAGTTTGGGATGATGATCCAAGTTGATATTTCCTTAAATTACATACAAATATGAAAGTCATCCAACATCTCCTGCAGTCTTAAATCTCTTCAAATTAAGTACAATGAATAAAGGTAACATGGACAATTTTCTCATTTTTCATTTTCAAGGCCACATGTATAGTTGTGTCTAGAGTAAGGTCCTTTCACTCATCAATCAAATACCCTTTTTTTTAAAAAAAAAAAAAAAATTGTGATAACTTGTTTCCTTTTATTTTGCAGGTTCTGGGAGCAGCATCTATGGTCAGCAAATCAGGTAAGCATCCTGGTCAGCTCAAAGATGATGTAACGTCAGCCGGCGGTACTACAATAGCCGGAATTCATGAGTTGGAGAAGGGTGGATTTCGAGGGACATTGATGAATGCTGTTGTTGCTGCTACTAAAAGGGCCCGAGACCTGTCCCAGAACTAAACCTGTATGATATTTATTTCCCAAATCATTATTTACAGACAATAACCGGGAAATAATATCATATATTCAGGCTGGATGATCTCAGGCTTTGCGTTTTCCTTTTACTTTTCCAGGGTCATAATGCATTTCTATGAAATGATAATGCAGTTACCACAAAACTTCTTTAAGATGATGTACTAATTAGACTAGTTATTTTGTTGGGAAGCATGAATGAAAAAACATAGTTGATGAGGTGGGGAATATTAAATGTGAACTTTAATTATATTGTTAAAATAGTAAAAGAAGAAAATTATTGAATTAATTGAGAACAAAAATTTAATTAAAAAAGCAAAATATTGTGAGGCAGAGAGAGGGTGAATCTTTAATTTTTTTTTTTTTTTGATAAGAGTAATGGTTAGGAAATTAGTAGAGTTAATTTGTTAGTAGCTGTAATTTCTCAAAATGGTGAGCATTCCATCCCCTCATATGAGGCGCGGCCATTAGGTCATAAATTGGTGGAGTTTACGGCGGTGGCAGAGCTTGAAACCCTGACTTTTGCTTCACCCAAGTCTTAAGGTTTGGGGACCAACCATTGAGTCGCAGACCCGGTTGGTGAACTTTTAATTAAAGGTATAGGAAATGTATGATTGACTCACTTTATTTGAGTTGGCATATGATATTATATATATATATTTATTTAATATAATATAATTAATATAATTTTATAATTTTACTTTGCATTTTAATTATATTATTTTTATTATATTAAAAAATAATATTATATTATTTTGGTTTAAAATATTAGAAAATATTGAATATTTTTCAAGTTAAAGGTGCCACCTCAGCAAACGTTAGTGCATCATTAACGGTGGCACCAATTTGGTGCTAAATTAATGACTTAGATCACTTGAGGGACTACAGAGGTACCCAAAAAGCTGAGAGACTAATTTGACAATAAATTATAAGGTTGAGGGACTTCAAAGATGTTTAAATCAAAAAATATAAGTTATATCACCTATTGGCTATTACTATTTAATTTTAGGCGCGCCAATTACTAAGCATTTTAGTGATAATTTTTTTTAATAAAAAGAAATAATTTTAGGGGACTTTAATTTGGTTTACATAATATATATAAATCAAATGAATCAAAGAATAAAAGAGTGTTATTTATTTTTTATTGTATAATTTAAAATAAAAAATTTAATTTTTTTAAAGTCAAATTTAAAACTCAAATGTTGGCCATCTCCCCTCGTTTCCCATCATCTTTGTCTTCTTCCATTTTTTTTTTTTATCCTCTCCTTTTTACTTTTATATTTTTAATGTTTTCCCTATGAGGATTCTTGTCTAGTCTGAATGTTGGTTTTTGTGGGTGTTCATCCCTTCCGGCATGCTCCGTGAGGGGTTTTATCAATCGTGTAAGCTAGCGTGTAACCCTTAAAACAAAACAAAACAAGAGTTTAAATTTTGAGGTTAACACTTAAAAAAATTTAATTTCGTTAAGTACATTAAACTGATGTTAAGGATATGTCCATAAAATTACCTGAAAAGGATTTAATTTCAAAATGCTAACGAAACTAATAGCACCTTAACAATAAAAGAAAGAAAATAAATAAAGAGTTCACGCTTATCCCTGCTGGATTCAATTCAAGACGCTTTCAGGCTGCTTGCGTTTGGGTTGGCTGATATAAGGCTCAGTCATTCATGTTCCTAGTTATTGCATGGTCCATTTGTAATGCTCAGAATAACCTAGTCTTTAAGATGAGTTTTAAC